TCTTTCTGGACCATGACATCATTCTGACATCATAGGTAGGAGCTAGGCTCAGGCACTAGGCCATAGGCCGGTCAATTCTGGACCCTAGGCCCAGGGCAGGGCAGGGCCAGACTACGACATCATATATGACATCATAGAGCACATGATACTTAGTAATCCTTACCCAGCTAGGTACCAGGGATCCATTACCGGTCCCTGGGGGGTTTTCCCTCATGTATATAAAGCAGCATCCTGGGGCACCCTGTCCCCCAGTTCTATTCACTTCGTTGTTGCGCTTAACAGCATTACCTCCCCCACACTTAAGTGCTTTATCTCCCCCCCTTACCATCAAGCTATAAGGTGGGTTTATAGGTTTTGTGATAGTTGAATAGAACTGCTTTAAGGTGCACTGGGCCCTGGCAAGGGTCCCTTGCTACCTGCTTTGTTACAGGGCCTATTGGTCGTTGCTATGCCCCTATGCTGCAAAGCGTAAGGTGGCCTTTCATGTGGGTTCTGGGGGTTATGGTTTGTTAACTGAAAAGTGGCAATACCTTTTTGCAAAGCACCTACCTTCATTGGTCAGGGTTGAACAATTGGTGTCAACATGCTGAGCTTTTCGCCGGTCCCTAGGCGTAAGGGGAGGTTGCTGCCTTATGGGCAACATGCTGGAATGTGGTTTACCATTCTATGAGGCCTTAGGGCTTACGACGGATAACCAGCATGGGCAGCCTTAGGGAGAGTGTAAGATTCTCCCAAAACCACTTGCAGCAGGTGTGGAAACCTGACTGAGATCTGTATTCCCCCCTCCCTACCTGCTGAGAGAGAGCAGGAGGATGCCGACACGAAGCACGACCAATGGACCCTGTAGTATAGCACATACCCTTTTCTTCGCTCTGAAAAGAGCCAGCTGAAAAGCTGTTATCTAATCCCCTCTGCCGTAGCCATGCCGAAAGCCAAACCTTTCATCGTCACTGCCAAGCACGAGCCGACAGGCCTGCTTGAGCGCATCGCCATCCACAACATGCACAAGTTCGACGACGTTGGCAAACCTCGCCGAATTGTACGCCCCACCATCAAACCACTCATTTGCCGCCCCTTCAACCCTGAATGCGCTGAAAAAGCGAAACACGACATCGAGGAGCTTGCACTTCATGCGCATCTCTTCAAGAAGCAACAGTTGCTCGATCGTATCTCCGACCCTGCTCCCCCCCTCATCGATCGCATCGATATGCAGGCGGGACCCTCCTACGAATACGAACCACCCAAGCCGCTCCCCGACATTCACTTCCAGCGCACGAAGATTCTGTTGCGCACATCCGAGTACAACGAGATGTTTGCCACCACAGCCGACAGGCTGGAACCGGTATTTGCTCGAATGGAAAAGGAAGAAGGGAGCTTGGAGCCGGAAGTTGTGGCGAAAGTCAGGAGGATGGGCGATGGGTTCGACGAGTTGTATCATGGGCTGGAGAAGAAGGCGTGCCAGCTTACCAACAGGCACTGGAGAGTTATCAAGCGCGACCTGAAAAGGATTGGGCATGTCTCCTTTGAGGACTTAAGCAGTCGCCTGCCGGATATCTGTAATGAGTTGGCTAGCCTAAACATCACCTTCAAGTACGAAGTGTAGATAGTGGAATACAGATTGGCAATCTTTTCTGGCATAATTGGCTTATATGGCATGAGGAGGAGATCTCCTTCGCTTCACTTTTTTCTTTCAATCATAAGTGAATACGGGCTAATCACTACAATAAGAAATGGCCCCATACATCCCCTTTGTTCCAACCGAAGCATTCGCTATCGCCACGGAAGAAGAGTGGCGCAATGCAATCTTCCAGAACGTGAACGTCTCTGACGAACAAGCAGCTCTGCTGCAAACTGTTACTGCGAATGCTGCAGAATCGACCACTGGACGAGTCAGAGACTGGATTGGTCGCCTGACCTTAGAAATAAGCAGGCACTACGACGGATACCTTCAGAGCCTCCTTCGAGAGGTTGAATCCCTGCACATCACGGTCCAGAATCAGCAGGCGCTAGTCGATTCCTACAAGCGACAAGTCGATGCGCTACCTGCATCAATGGGTAGTGGTCATTCCCGTCAACCTAGCCTCCGGCCTTCAAGGGCAGTGAGGATAAGACCAAGCTTGAGGAATGGCTGGACCTGATTGTACTGTGGTGCGAGCATGAGGGAGTGGCCACTGACAAACAGCGAATCGTCACGGCCCTCTCGAAGTTACAAGGACCAGCTCATCAGTACATGAAGAGCTACTATGTGAAAATGCGGGAAGGAAAGGATCTGGGCACCTGGAAGGCATTTGTGGCAGAACTGGCCCAGATATACGGGCAACGCGACGACAAAGAGGGTGCAAAGAAGGAGATCACGTCGCTGTTCATCAATAAGGATCTGGCCTCGAAGGACTTCGTGAAGTACGCTGAGAGGTTCCGCACCCTTGGACATCTCACGGAGTATGACGATAGTCTTCTCATTGACAAACTCCGGGAGGTTATACCTCGTGACATGCGGTTGGTGTTGGCCGGAAAGGACGAGTCCACCTTGCCAAAGGATTGGACGTTGTTCCTCGACATCTTGCTCAACATCAACAAGATCATCAACCCAGAGAAGGCACGAGGCTCGGTATTCAAGAACAGTGGCTCGGATAATGGCAGCGCTGTTCCCATGGACATCGATTCGGCTGAAAAGTCGAAATTGAAGGGTAAAGGCAAAGGCAAGGCAAAGGACGCTGAGGCCGCCTCGACAGAGGCAAAGAAGTATTGCGTCATCTGCAAGTCGAAAACTCATAACACAGATGATTGCTACAAGTTGGCCAAAAATGCGGACAAGTGGCCAAAGACCCAAGGGGATGGCGCTAAGAAGGCACAAGGAGGAAGTGGTAACCCCGCAGTCAAGAAGGCTAAGAAAACGCGGGTTATTCAAGTCGAGCTTACAGATAGCGAGGATGACACGCCCCCGTCCACGAAAGCCGTGAGTGCCAACACTGCGAGAATCGAGGAGATTGCAAACGTCGAGGAATCGACTCTGGCTGGGAAGGATGAACCCCAGCTGTCTGCAAAGACAGAACCCACCGCAGCTACCTCAGATTTTTGGAAGAAGTACATGTGACTACCTGCGAACATGTACTTAAGGAATCGGCACCCACCGTCGGAATCAATGTAGATAGTGTACACAGCAGTCTTGTAAATATCTCTTGCAACAAGAATTCATTCACTCTGCCTGTGACACTGTGGGTATACGGAAAGAAAGTGCAGGTCGAAGCTTTGGTAGACTCAGGGGCCACAACATTGTTCATCAATCGGTCAGTTGTTGAAAGTAACAGCCTGGTGACGCATAAGCTGGCAACCCCGTACAATGTTTATAACGCAGACGGGACCTCCAATAAAAGCGGTCAAATAAATAAGTCCGTTAGAGCCTACGTCGAAATAGGATCACATAAGTCGACACACCCACTGCTAGTCGCAGATTTGGGAAGAAAGGACATGATCCTCGGCATGACCTATCTCAGGAAACACAATCCCGAGATCGACTGGGCCAAAGGGGAGTGGAGGTACACCAGGTGCCCTGAGAGCTGTGCCCCCAAAGCTCGTAAAACTAATCGTGTGACTGATGAAGAAACCGACGAGCTTCAGTTACCAAGGGAGGAACCCTTAGTCACTCCGCTGGACACCTTAGGAGAGGAGTGTACTGAAAATCCATACATCAACTGGATCTCGACAGACGATCCGGAGGACCTACAAATGGCAGAATTTGTCGCAAGCATTCTGAACAAGGATGTTGAGGAGGAGGATGCGGACACCACTAAGTGGAAGTCTCTCATCCCTGAATATCTA